AAATGGTGATTGAATTTGAGTGAAGAAGAGAGCATTTCGTTCTTACCTTTACAGTGCGAAATATCTATTCAGGAAAACTTGGTAGTACAATTGGCATTATATAATATGAGGATGAATAATGTCATTGACCATCCATTCAATGACACTAACACCACAAAAATGAACATTAAAACGTTAACCCAGTGTTTAGGAATGTACAGTGTGAAACGTCCACATATGAATAGGCTGCATTAATTGTTAACACTGGGTAAATTATGAGCATTGTGAAATTAGAAGCAAGGTAACCCAGGATTCCATTTACCTGGGGTTTAGAATGACAAAGTGTTAGCTATTTCAAGTGTGAAAAGCCTTCTGTTCACCTATATTTATCTGGTGGTGTTGAGAAGTTTCACGGTTGTTCTTGTTTTAATTTATTTATTTATTTTTGCATGTTTGTTTACAGATCCAATCATTATCCATATTCTTGAAGACCAGCCATGTAACAGCACTGATCTGAATGCAGTGGGTTGCAACAAGACTACACAGCACACATACAACATCTCTGACGAGTCTGTTGACTTCCTCAAAGGCCTGCTGGTCACACGCGTCATGCCCTCATTCTACATCATCATCATCCTCATTAGTTTGCCCCTGAACACTTTGGCCTTCGTAGCGTTCACCTGTAGGATTCGAGAGAAGAAACCAGCTGTGATCTACATGTCTCACCTGGCGTGTGTGGACCTGCTCTTCACCCTGCTGCTGCCTCTGAAGATCCACTACCAGCCGAATTCTTCAGATTGGGTGTTCGGTGAGGCGGCGTGTCGTGTGCTCAGTGCAGCTTACTACTGCTACATGTACTGCTCCATACTGCTGATGATGAGCATGAGTGTGGATAGGCTGCTGGCCGTGGTGTTTCCCATCGCCTCTCTGACCTGGAGGAGCGCAAGGAAAGCCACGTGTGTGTGTGCTGGTCTGGCTGCTGGCGCTCGCTGGTACAGTGCCACTTCTCTCCATAACACAAACATTCAAGATAAAGGATGTGGGCGTCACCTGCCATGACGTGCTGTATCACACACAGGTGTATGCATACCTGTTCTCCATCCTCTCCTGCCTCTACTTCCTCTTGCCTCTGATCATCACCTTAGTGAGTTACTCTACCATCATATATGTGCTCACTACAAAGAATGATCACTTGGCAACATCATACTCAGACAAGCGAAGGAGAGCTGTGATTATGGCTATAGCTGTGCTGATGGAGTTTGTAATGTGCTTTGCACCAACCAATGGCATCTTGTTGTACCACTGTGTTCGTTTAGCCACTGGAAGCAGCAGTGAGGAGGGGAAATACTACCTGATGGCTGTGTGTTTGGGGAGCGCAAGTGTTTTTCTAGACCCTCTGTTATATTACTATGGCTCGTCTCAATGCAGAGAGCAGATCCGCTCTCTGATCTGGTGGAGGAAGACAAAAAGCATAACCACACCATCAAACACAAACAGTCAAACAAAATCCTCTAACCTGAGCTGCGAGTACACTCAGGCTCACATTCAGGTGTGAATTGATGGTGATTTTTTTGTCAATTTATAAATGCATAGTCTGTGCTAAATGACTGGAATGATGTTTGTTTTTAATGTTGGTCTTTGCATGTACGTAGATATATATAACATATAGCATGTATGCAATCATATTGCGCCCCTAAAGCTTGAAAACATTGTATTTTTAACACAACAATTGAAATGCATTTAGTTTGTATCTCAAAAATGTCTGTCCCGGAAGAGAAATCGTTGAATAAAGTCGTTATTTTTGTTTTCTTGTTATTTTTGTTTGTAAAATTACAGTTGAACCACTGATGTCACATGGACCATTTTAACAGCATCCTTGCTATGTTTCTGTGCCTTGATCGTGGTAGGACCCTTGCTGTCTATGCAGGGTCAGAAAGCTCTCTGATTTTATCAAAAATATATTAGTTTGTGTTCCAAAGATGAACGAAGGTCTTACAGGTTTAGATCGACATGAGGGTGATTAACTAATGACAGAATTTTCATTTTTGGGTAAACTAACCCTTGAAACATGACCAACAGTAATATCCAGCAATGCAAACTACTCAACTTTTTTCACAAATATGGCTGTTTTCAATTGAATTGACAGTATTTCTGATTCAGGTAGGCTAATTTCTAACTGAATGTTACAATATAAGAAACGTTTTGCGTCTTCGACATATTACGCATACAACCAACAGTGCATGTGTGCATATTTTAAAAGAATATTTGCAAAAAGAATATTCGAGAATTTACTTCACCGTTTTATCTGCTTTAAGTGAAAAAAGGTCCCACTTATAAAAGTGTAGGTGTTCATTGTCTCTGTATGCACAATTTTATGTATCTATTGTGTTGTCATTGAAGGTTGTTGGATGATACTGTTCATAATACATATTATTTACATATTATTATAGATATTAATGCATGTCATCCATATCACTTTATGTAAAAAAAAAAAATATATGAATAATAAATAAAACCGGTTATCCCATTTGACTGAAGCCATTTGATCAGTGATTGCCTTCATTCTACATTCGCACAGAGACTGCAATAAAGCAGTCCTCTCCACCTTTTCCTGAGTAACCAATGAGCACTGCCATGGTGGATTCTAACTTCTGTTTGGAATGCTTTTGTGTTACATCTTTATGCAAACCCATGTTAAAGGGGTCCTATTATGCTTTTTCACTTTTTCAACTTTAGTTAGTCTGTAATGTTGCTGTTTGAGAATAAAAAATATCTGCAAAGTTACAAAGCTCAAAGTCCACTTCAAAAGAAGATATTTTATTTAACAGAAATCACTTTTCAAAAACTACAACCAACGACTCGTTTGGACTACAACGCATATTTTCCGGGATTTGTGATATCACAAATACCGACGAATGGGACGAGACCTGGTTGAGCTGCACTAGAGAAGGCAACGAGTGTTATCACTATGTCGGAGACATATGACATATGTCAGAAATCAAGCACAACACTGAGCGGCTGTGCCTCCATCTAGGGTTTTCAAATTTTACCAGTTTAAGCTGTTCTAATGCAGTGTTTCCCAACTGGGGTGCCGTCTGTCGAGAGCAGGGGTGCCGTGTAAAAAATATTTTTTTAATATTTTTAAATTGCTAAAATGTTCAAAAAAGCATCTATTATATAATATCCATTTCTGATGTCGCCAATAATTAGAGATGCACCGAAATTCCGGCTGCCGAAAATTAGTTCACCGCTCAGGTTTCACTTTCACGTGGTGTGACGCTCTGCGTATTATCCGCTCTATGTGTGTGCGCTCCGCTCAGTCGCTCCACTCGTATACCGTTCGTGCGAATCAGAACAGCAAAGTCCACTCAAAAATTGAGCCAACAGGAAACATAGTACATTTACTAGAGTTAGAAATTGCCAGCTGATCAGTAATCATGGGAGTGAAAACGGTCTTGCTTTTAATTATGGTTCTGCACTGCAGGCAATGGTAAGTACTTCAGTTCAACCTTGAACCATTTAAAAATTTAAAAATTTTAGTTTTTATGTTGCTATCATTTATTTTTCATTCCAGTTTAGTCATTGTAGTACTTCAAATTAATTTTCAGTTAGTTGTTAGTTTTTAAGTTGACATTTTCATCTAATATTTATATTTTATTTCAGCTTTATTTCAATATTAAAAACCATTTTTAATAATTTTAATTTTAGTGTTAGTTGGCAATAACAATGCCGTGCTGTATATAATAAAGTTGGGTGATAGATGTCACGAATCCGGTCTATGAACTTCAATTCACTCACCACCAGAGGTCACCCTTCCATTACATTGACTCTCGCACTACACAAACTGTTGCATGTCATCCATCATACACCTACATATCCCATCATCCATTTCACTGATTGCACACAGCACTGATTGCACACAGCTGTAACCAATCACACATTCACTATATAACACTCACTCTGATCCCTTTTAAACTGCTGAGGATTGTATAGCGTTTATCACTCTCATAGCGATAGCTACTCTATGGAGCCTGTCTAGTTTTTGATAGCCTTATCTTAGTCTTGCCTTGTCTGGTTTCTCGTGTCCTGATCTTTGCCTGTGTATCTCGGATTCCCCCTCTCGTCTTGCCCTATTCAGATACTGTTTGCCCCTGCCTGGACCTTTGCCTTGTACCTGGATTTATCCCTCTAGTCTCACCCTGTTGATTCTGTTCGCCGATCGTAGACCCACGCTAGCCCTAGGAATGTTCGTGTCTTACCCTCTATATACCTGTTGCCATTGTCTGACCCTTGCCTGTTTCTGACCATGTCGGTTAATAAATCTTCGCACTTGGATCTGCACGTCTCACGTCTCAGTCACTCCGTGACAATAGAAATATTTTTATAAATTTTAATTTTTTCATATTACGAGACTAACTCTGTTATCTGTAGTTTGTTTTTTTTTGTTTTTTTGGCTTGATGGATTTTGTTAGCATTGAAGGAAGTATTGCTTGAAAACAAATTCCTTCAGTATTAAAAAATGTCCATCAAAGTCTTTTTTGCAAATGTGTCCAAGTTCTCAAAATGATTGTCTGATGGTATTATGAGGTTTTTAACGGTCTTTTGTGTTGATTACAGATTCTGACTCTGTTCCGCTTCCTGAATCGTACAGCAGTATAAGAATTACTCTGAACCGTTCTTCAGTATGCAAGAGTAATATGCAACACACTGCATGGCAATAACTATTTTACATTTGTATGAATTCGTATGGTCTCATTCATGTGTTTTCATCCTTACGTTTTTTTAACAGTAGTATGTTATCGTGCAGTTCACATTGTGCTAATTCATATGAAATTGCCACTTCGAAATATAGATACACTTTGATGTTGGTAATATTCTTTCATTCAACAAATGTAGCTGTTCATGTGCTAAAGCTGATTTTATTTTTGTCTGGTAGTAGTATGTGAACATCACTAATGATGTGTTGTGTTGGTTAAAGTTCCTGAACACCCAATACGTGACTGGTGGGTTTTTAGGCCGTAATGAGAGGTCTCAACCATCGAATGAGAGCAGTACTCCAGACACAGCATCATACAATCACAAAACTGCACCAATCTCTGACACATTAAACATGACACATAGAAGAGTCTGTTGTCTTCCTCAAAGGCCTGCTGGTCACACGCCTCATGCCCTTGTTCTACATCAAGAAACCAGCTGTGATCTACATGTCTCACCTGGTGTGCGTGGACCTGCTCTTCACCCTGCTGCTGCCTCTGAAGATCCACTACCAGCTGAACGCTTCAGATTGGGTGTTCGGTGAGGCGTCGTGTCATGTGCTCAGTGCAGCGTACTACTGCTACATGTACTGCTCCATACTGCTGATGATGAGCATGAGTGTGGACAGGCTGCTGGCTGTGGTGTTTCCCATCGCCTCTCTGACCTGGAGGAGCGCAAGAAAAGCTACATGTGGTACAGTGCCACTTCTCTTAGTGAGACAAACATTCAAGATAAAGGATGTGGGTGTCACCTGCCATGACGTACTACGCCAAAATGACCCTACAGTAGTGTATTATGTGTATTTGTTCTCCATTCTTTCATGCCTCTACTTCTTCTTGCCTCTGGTCGTCACCTTTGTGAGCTACTCCACCATCATATATGCACTTAGTGTAAAATCTGATCACTTAGCAACATCTTCATCTTCAGACAACAGAAGGAGAGCTTTGAATATGGCTATTGCTGTGCTGATTGAGTTTGTGGTGTGCTTTGCTTCAACCAATGGCATCCTGTTGTACCACTGTGTTCATTTAGCTAATGGAGGCCACCGCGAGGGAGATTCATCATATGCAGCTTACCTGTTGGCTGTGTGTTTGGGGAGCGCAAGTATTTTTCTGGATCCTCTGCTGTACTACTACGGCTCGTCTCAATGCAGAAAGCAAATCCGCTCTGTGTTTTGGTGCAATAAAGCAAAAAAGAGAGGAAAAAATATAAAAACCTCTCACTGCACTACAGCTGCACAGTAAAAAATATAAATATATCTCTCTCTTAAAACAACAACTAGCCATATTCTGAGCTGTATTCTTTGTTTGCTTAAGTTCACCACAATGTCATTATCTGCCTGTTTTAACCAACATGGAATAAAGTGTAGGTGTTCGTTGTCTCTGTATGCACACTATTAACAATATGTAGTTATTGTATTGTGTCACAGAAGGTCTTGGAGAATGTTTTTCATAATGCATAACATATTATTTATCTTAATGAATAAAATAATAATTAATAAAACCTGTAATAGAATTTGACTGAAGCTGTTTGATCATTGATTGTACTCATGTCTTATCGATGATTCATTCATCACTAATTATAATAAAGCTGTAAGAGTTCATCGTGTTTCTACACGAGCTTGAGTCCTGGCACATGTTCCTCATCCCACTTTGATAAACAGTAATAAATTATATCTTCACCAAACAGTGAGTTCTTAGTGTCACAGTCGAAGAATGACAGGCTATTTTTATGTTTTCTCTTTTTTTACTTTGAAAAAAGTCAGATTTCAATGAAAACCCAATTCTACATATTGACTTTGCTCATCATTTCTTAAAATCTACTTTGAGTAATTTTCCAATATTTAATTAAACACCTTGGTGAACAGTTATTTTGCGATTCATTTAACATGTTTGGGGTAGCAGAGACCTTAGTTATTTACAGTATGTGTAAAAATAATAATAGTATATAATAATAATCAAAATTAATCTTAATTTTTTCTTTCAAATTCTTTCTTTTTTTTTGTCACATTAACAAAGTAGCTACTTTACATTCCTCTCAGTGACTATACTTGCAGATACTATGAATCTGTAATATTACTTGTAAACCTTTGATTGAAATTGACTAATTTCTTGGTGTTTGGTATTGGCACACAGACACTATGAATGTGCACATCACTTCAGGATGTTCTAGAATGACAGTTTCCCACTACACATCAATGGCTTCTAAAAGAAACAGTCATTAGCATCAAATTTCTAGATCTGCTCATTACAGGCAACATCACTTGGGCTCTTATACATTCTGTGGAGATTTGTGTCCTAACCACATGCATCAATGTATGGTCAGAAGAGTGCAATGCTTCAGACCACAAGACCCTGAAATGCATTGAGTAATGTATTTATCTATTTATTGTTTTCAGTGTGTATTGTTAACAAAAGTGCTATCGTTTACAGTATGTTAATTAAGTTTTCCTTATGCTGTGTGTAATATGTTTCGCAGAACTACCTGTAGTAATACAATGTGTTCCACTCCATTCTTGTATATGGCTGAAAAGACAATACTCTCACAAACACATGAACTGAGTACATTTTCACAATTTTTCTTGGAAATGAAACAAACTCATAAATGAAAACAAACTATATTGTTCATCTTATTAATACAAAGACCTTTAGAATGAACTAACTGACAATAGGCTTTAATAGGTGAGGGGATGTGTAAAATACTTAAAACTGACAGTTAATCGGAAATCATGGTGGACTTTCCTTCATTTACAGATCATACATTCAATGGTAAGTACATTAGTGATCTCATGAGTGACATGATTTTTAGTTGTGACTTGCTGAAGTGCTGAAAATGAATTTACATAGCTTATTATGTAAAAGAGTGCAACAGGTATCTGTAAGTCTGGTGATCTGTAGTTGTTACAGTAAGTGAGATCTATTGTCAGATGGGTTTTGTTTTACACTTAAGCCAGTAAATTAAAGGATTGACTGTGTTGTGTTTTGTTACAGATTCTGGCCTCATGAAGTATTTTCCATTTGGCTTTCTTAACCAGGCAAATCAGACGTTTGTAACAATGTTTAGAAGACATAATAGTGCAGTGAATTACAATAACCAAATTATACCATTCTCTGGGCCGCTGGTTGTCCCGCATGAGATCGTTCTCCTCTTTTAAAGGCTTGCTGGTCACACGTGTCATGCCCTCGATCTACATCTTCGTCGTCCTCCTTAGTGTACACCTGAATGGTTTGGCGATGGTGACGTTCACCTGTAGGATCCGAGAGAAGAAACCAGCTGTGATCTACATGTCTCACCTGGCGTGTGTGGACCTGCTCTTCACCCTGCTGCTGCCTCTGAAGATCCACTACCAGCTGAACGTTTCAGATTGGGTGTTCGGTGAGGCGGCATGTCGTTTGCTTAATGCAACTTACTATGGAAACATGTACTGCTCCATACTGCTGATAATGTGCATGAGTGTGGACAGGCTGCTGGCTGTAGTGTTTCCTATCGCCTCTTTGACCTGGAGGAGCACAAGGAAAGCCACATTCATATGCACATTAGTCTGGCTGCTGGCATAGTACCACTTCTCACACTGAGACAAACATTCAGTTTCCAGAATCTGGGAGTCACCTGCATTGACTTGTTGGAGGAAGATTCTTCAATGATGTTGAACTTATCTGTGTTCTTAATCCTTCCCTGCATCTACTTCTTCCTGCCGCTGGTCATCATCTTAGTGAGCTACTCTACTATCATTTATGTGCTCTGTGCTAAACATGATCACTCAGCAACACCATCATCTTCCTCAGATAACCGAAAGAGGGCTGCGATTATGGCTACTGCTGTGCTGACTGAGTTTGTGGTGTGCTTTGCACCATCCAAAGGCTTCCTGTTGTACCACTGTGTTTGTATAGCCATGGGAAGCAATGGGTTGGATACCTATTTGGCTTACCTGTTGGCTGTGTGTTTGGGGAGCTCAAGTGTTTTTCTGGACCCTCTGCTGTACTACTACGGCTCGTCTCTGTACAGACAGCAGATCCGCTCTGTGATTTGGGGCAGCAAGTCAAAGAGAGTGAACATACCATTAAACACAATCACACACACACACAAAATCCTCTCATCTAAGATGCACTGTAAAACAAATAAGTGGCCAAAATAAAAAGCAGATATCACTTTAAATTCATTGCATTTGGTAGACACTTTTATTAAATGCAGCTTGCACTGCCTTCAGGGGTTTCATTAGTTAATACTCAATCTGAAGAAATTATTATTTATTCATCTACTCTCTAATAAGTGAACGTGTGAAAGAGAGATTGTAACTATACTGCTGTGTTAGACAAATGTAGAATAATCAGTCATTGTTGTAACACTTTATATGTAAACAGATCTATCTATCTATGTCCCTATCTCTCTATTAATAAATAAATAAAACCTGAATTACAATTTGACTGAAGCCATGTGATCATTGATTTTACTGATAGTTCTAATCTACATGCTCATAGCTGTGATTTAAAACAATCCTCTAGGTGGCGGTGTTTATCCATATGTCTACCCAACGTAAATAAAACGTACAATGGTAGACAAATCTGTTGTTTAACGTAGTCTATTGTTTTACTTTGCTTATTTTTTATTTTATCATTTTAACTTTATTATTTTAACGCTGTAATTTGCTTCACAAACCTAGTAAAACAATATATAGGCTACAACATTTACCACTTATTTCACACACAGAAGCTGTGATAAAAGAGACACACACAGAAGCCGTTATAAAGCAGTCCTTTAGGTGGCGGTGTTTATTCTAAACTATGTCTAACCAAGCACCATAACGAACAGACTAGCCTATAAGCCTTTAATGCAGTCTAGATCTGGTAACCAAACTACTGATTCGCTGGATTTGTCATCTTTCTGTGTAGCTTCTCTGCTGAGTGAGATGACAAGCTGAGTGACTGGTCGTATTACTAGTCAGTAGCTGACATCGCGGATGGTTATTATTTTTAACTGTATCGCACTCTGGTGCGGAACGCGCGTCACAAATGTCACAGCGGAGTGAAATCTTCATAAGAAAGAGGCGTACAGTGCTTCCTATGGCACCTAGTCCCGTTAGTTAAAAAAAATGAAGAGTGACTACACAGAGCTCTTTTTGTTTTTTTACATATGTCAGGTACACTTAAGTTATGTGTTTGCTATTACTGAGGGACTATACATTAACAGACCGCATGAAATGTGTCACATGACACAGCTCTTCTGAAGGGCGTGACCCAGGTAAGGTCACAGGCCTTTGACGGACGGTGAACTCCACACCTGACTATAAAGAGCTGATTTTGTTTATATTCATGACGGACACAGTCCACGCTTCGGTAAATACAAGTCGTTCCCGTTAATTTCGCAGGAATAATGGCGCACCGATTAATCTGGATTTACGCTTTGGTTACCTTAATCAGCGTTAACCTGTCTAGTCAAAGTAAGAATTTGTTTTCTTGTTTATATTTAAAGAGAAGTGTCTCATCTCAAGACTTTCATGTATGAAACTCGTTTATTTGATTATAAATGTTTATAAAATTTGATTTCTAGATGTTTAGTAGCCTATTGCGGTTTACTTTTTGATTTTTGTCTGAAAAATAATCATTTGAAAATTAACCTCGTTTTTCCCATATTCTTTTAGTGTTTCTCTGACCTAAATTGATTTGACAGATATTAATGGAGATCTAGGCCTCGATTGAATTAGGCTACTGTTGAATGTGGTCACTTCTGGCACACGCGAGTGTAGGCTACTGCTGTGGTGTATATACGAAGCAGTTTATTTTAATATGTAAAAATGTATTATGTTTGTGTAACCAGTGTGTATATAAGTAGGCTGTGAGTAGATTGATTTCACATTGTATAGCTGCCTCAACTATCAAGTATACCCATATTTGAATAACACAATACCTGAGATTTGTAATGCATGTTTTGCTGCTATATATAGTCTTTGCTATGAGTAATAGTAGCGTGGATCACAAAGACATGTTTGTTCCTTTACAGCAGACAGATTTCATAACTTGCATGCTGATGCAGATGCCAGATCTTTGTACTAGACACTAGTTTGTAATGATTCAATTATGTCTAGTATGAATCATTCAAGCACTGAGCATGTGGAGTAAATCTGTCTCGTGTTCAGTGTTGCCAGATTGGAAATGTCCAAGTATCGTACCAGAAGCTCAAAATTATCGTATTTGGAAGAAAATGATCGTACACGAGTCAGACGTACAGAATACAGCTATTTATCTAA